GGTGGGGTTAGTGGTGTATCAGTCTACATGATCTATCATGTGAACAGTGAGAGTCCCATCTACGTCATCCGAGCACATGTTATGCACTCCCAGTCTCTGATTATACCATCTCTCTATCCGTGCATGGGTCACAATGAGAGAATATGGGACAGGCATCATGTCAGCACACTGTAATTGTAAAGCCGGGCTTGGTGAATTCTGTTCACATGTTTCCTCGGTGATATTTTATGTAGAGTATGCTGCACGTGCAAGAGAAATCACCACCCCCACTCAAACAGCTGCCTACTGGGTGCCGGCGATATATGGACATATAAGTTTAAATGTGTAGCGGTGTGCGCTGTGCGTGCAGTGTACCTGTGTATTGCAGAGGAGCATTTGACCGGCATTTACAGGTAATTATCGGCAATACTAGGCGAAAGAGAGTAGAGAAACATTAAGACATTGGTAGTAAATACATTTCGTGTTTATTCAGCATCACTTTTTTATTGAAAATGCTCCAAGCGTCTGTGGTCCGCCGGTCTCTCGTCATTTTACCTTGTGTTGTGATCACGCTAGGCAGCCTAAAAAAGCTGTGTGGCTCTCTCTGATACCGATTGCTGCAGTTGACAACACCGCAGGAGAGCGGCGTTGTGATAGATTTGCTTAATAGGTGAATAAAATGAGCAGCGGTGCGTTGCTCAATGTACTTGTACCATGCCTGAACTGGTTTCTGGAACCGTCATGGCCGACGGCATTGCATTGTGGATAATTTGAAAATTCGCGGAACCCTCTATATCATTTGGCATCTGCCACTAATTCACTGGCACTCTAAAGTCTACTAAACTAGGCAGCTTCTCAAAATTCTTATGTCACTTTATTTTTAGTTTCAACAGAAAGAGCTTGAAATTTGCAACAAAATGAGGGGTCTCCCAAGTCTGTAGGTTTTGTAGAACTTGAGATATTTTGTAGAATTTTTGTAGTGATAAAAAACCGCAATAATGTCCTAATGATATACAAAATAAAACAATAACTGTGACCATATAGGCGTTTATAGTAAGTAATCTAACCATGTTTTATATTACCATGATTTTCAGATAAGTTTAGATAATTTTCGATCGGCTGATTTTACTACATGTGACGATTTTTAATTAAATTAAACTACACTGTTTCAGATTATTATGTTCTTAAACATCGTGAAGATACCGTACTATGTATAAATTGTATATATGTGATGCAGTCACAGTTTGCTGCCACAATCGATCTATCGTAAACAGTGCCATCACGCGACATTCGCGTGAATCTGCCTAGTCTAACGGTATAGGCAATTAATTGCTGCCTCTGAGTCCAGCTTTTGAAATACTATGGCTATAGCATAGTTCTTTATCGGCTCGGCCACAGGTCATGCCAGTCAATTACGCGTGTCATAATTGTCAAGGTCATGACCCGGAAGAGAACACTGAAACTGACATTGTCAATAACATGGATACAGACTTCCAGACGGCACCTAAAGCAGAAGATCGTGTTGTGGAAAGAGTGGACATCAACTATGAAGCTGCGACATTGTTACATCATCCCACAGCTAAGAACACGTGTTCTACTGAAGAAGGAGAAGTTCCACCTGTCACTGTGAAACTTGAAGTGATTGATGATCACTCTGATAGTGGGAGTGCAGCAGGTCAAACTACAGGTGCGAACTATGAAGCAGCGACCATGAATGCATGCTACGAGCAGAGTGAATATCAAATGCAGACCCATGGCAATGACGACGTACTTAACCCAATAGTGGATGGCACATATTATAATCCATTGCCAACGTACATGACAGCGGAGGATGTGCTAAATATAGTTGATAAGAAAATGCCGTATAACAGCGCCACAGTTTCTAGATGCAATGATCTCACTGTGGCAGGGCGCGAAGTACACCGCTCTGCTATTGTCACCGGCAGCCGTAAGAAATTCTGGCAGAAAAGTACAGCCAATAGTACTCAGTCCTCCACGTACACTCGTGCTACCATTACACACGCGAGACCGCAACCGAGTGAATCGGAAAGCAGTGCTATGCGCCATGTAGCGTTGCGCACGAGCGGTATGCTTGCGACGTCGTCTTCTGCTGGAGATCACACACTAGCAGTGCAGAGGCAGCTAAATCAAACGGTAGCGTGCAGCGTGGAGAGCAAAGACCGTCCAGTGGCGTGCCACTTTTGTCAGAAGGTTCTCAAATACAAGTGCCTGATGAAACACATGCGAATTCACACGGGCGAAAAGCCGTACAAGTGCACACTGTGTTCGTCCGCGTTCACGCAGTATTCAAGCCTGGCATGTCATCGCAGAATTCACACGGGAGAGAAGCCATATGTGTGCATGTGTGGGAGAGCGTTTAATGATTCGAGCAATCTAAGGCGGCATCAACGCCGAGCCTGCAGACAACTTCCTCAGATTGGCTTATGACGACGTTATGTACTCCGTACTATCATGTAATATCGTTGCCGTACTTATGACCGCACAGAGGAAAGTGTTATGGGATGGATATCCATTCGATCTGAAAACTTTTCTGACATGTAATTTTAACTTGTCACTATTTGTGTGTCTTTAGGTAAATGATCATGAACGGCTATCACTTTAAGCTGGGTTTACACTACTAACTTTATGTTGGCGAATTGGCGAGTTGGACCAATTTCGCAATTCGGCAACTCCGAGTTGGCGAAAATAGAACGTGTTCTAATCTCCCAACTAGTTGCTATCGATCGGTTGGTCGCGCAACTTTTGTATTTACAATGCCGATTGTAGGTTGTATAGGGCGCGTTTGTTTGGTCGGATCCAACGGATCTCGATCCAATGGATTCGTTGATCAGACTGTTTGTTTGGTCGGATCCAACGGATCTCGATCCAATGAATGGATTTGTTGATCAGACTGTTTGTTTGGTCGGATCACTTTATCTCGATCCACCGAACCCGACCTTGCTAGCCAGGTGGATTCGAACGGGATCCAATATGTCGGCCCGCGTCTCAGCCAATCACAGCTTGTTCTTTGTTATGAACCATCCCGTGATAGGTCACAGCGAAACGTGAACCGGTGAAAGTGAGTTTGCATTTGTTTGGTCGGATCAGGATCATTTGATCGCGATCCGAGGGATTCGTCCCAAACAAACGCGCCCATAGTTCTGCTATAGTTCTAGTTGGTCCAATTCGCCAACGCAAAGTCGCTAGTGTAAACCCAGCTTTAGTCCCCAGACAAGACGAATGCAGGTACGACGCAGTTTTTGCTGGCACTGTTTTTGTATCATGCTAGATGACGTACTTCCAGGTGAAATTATGCAAACTTAAGAAGTTGACTATTGTGTGTAGCTTCTACCTGCTACATGCCTTTTATGGTGCCAACTGCTGAGTTGCTACCTTACTGATTATTGTCAGTAATTTATGTGTACTGCTTCTATGTGATTTCACAGTAAAATTGCTGTGATGTAAGTGGTTAGATGCTTCCTCTCTGTGCCATTGGTTTTACAGAGTCTTATACACACCTGCAGAAAATAGCTCGTAGATATCAGATGCCTGTTAAACGAATGTATGTCTGTTAGCACTCGCAACCTGGCACTTTGCACCACCTACTGGTTGGCTAGGTTCCTGAGGCGTGTTTAACAGCTCGCCTTCTGAACGACGCTGCGCGGTCGAGCGCTCGCGAGCGCGCTAGTTGTTTTCAAGATGGCGACGGGCAATCTGGCGAATGCGAATCTAACACTTCTGACTTTGGGATATATCGATGGGTCGAAGGAGTTTACTTTCTATATACTCGCTTTGATGAAGGAAAGGGCATTCTAATTTCGTCTGCTAATTCGTGTAACAGTACTTGTTCGAAGACGCGATTAAAATCTGCTGAGGAAGCAGCCATGTTGGATAAAGCGAGCGCTCGGTGTCGTTCAAGTGGCGCTGCGTTCGCTGCGAGCGTTCGCGCTGTTGAACACGCCTCTGGTGTTATTGTAATCAAGGAGCTAAATATAACAAGGAGAGGAAGCGGATTGGCTGTGTGCTTTTCGCCTCAAGGGCGCCATCTATGGACCATAATCAGCTGAAACGGCTGTGCAGACGGAACCCAGAGACAATAGAACACTAATCTGTTCTAGGGTCTCTGCCGAACCCAAATTTGGGCCAGATATATGCGGCGCTTCCTCTCCTTGTTATATTTAGCTCCTTGATTGTAATGCCACACATGGTAATGATGAGCAGCGGGTGCGTTCGCCAAAAGGGCAGTGCATGCTGTGGGAGGGAGATCTCCAATTAGTAGAAATTTGATCTAATTAGGTCCCAAGTCTGCTGGGTCCAACAGTTTTCAGAGAGGTGAGATCTAATACACGTCTCTTCAGGTTAATGATTCATATGCATCCTTCGTTAGTAACATGTGAAATATGCAACACAAAAATATTCAGTTTTCTGTGCCACCAAAATGTAAATGGTTTATGACATTGCCTCGTGTGTTTTGTGCTATTGCATTATGTATAGATGTCATTGTGAAACCACCACCCAACTGTAAATAAACTGCTAATTCGTGCTGAATGGTCAATCTCTCTGTTGAGGTTTCTTCTTAGGCTCTCTTGAACAAGGTTTCCTATTGCAAATTATTAAAACTCACTGCGAGCAGCTTCCTGGATCGTGCAGGTGTGTAATTATAATAGCGTTAATTGCCATTAATTACGGGAGGGTCGCAGTGCCGGTCGCATCTGTGATCGGCGGCGCGATTCAGGTGACCGGTCGTGCTAATGGAGCGACCGCGAGATTTCTGGCCACATATGTTCACAACATGTTGATCTTCTACAATCTCTGAGTCAAATCTTTCTTTCGCGCTCTCTCTTTCTCTCTCTCTTCCCCGTTCTCCTCCCGGTTTCTCTCTCTTTCTCTCTCTCTCTCTCTCTCTCTCGTCTCGTCGTACTACGTACCGTCGTACCGTCCGTACGTACGTACGTACGTACGTACGTACGTCGTTCGGTTAGGTACGGTACGGTACGGTT